AAGTCAGGGCCGGATGAAGGTTTTTGTCGGCCCAATAGGCACTTCAGTTTCGTAGGCCTTCAGTGATCTCTCTCTACAGTTGGTACTGCTGCTGCCCGTGTTACTACTGCCACTGCTGTCACTCGCTAAAACAACAACGCCGCCATGCCATCCTTTGCACGACTCTCTAGTGAGAAGGCGATTGTGCGAAATACACCATTTGATTATGTTATTGATAATTTAGCAATGAAAAAATCTGAAAAAGTTCATCTCAGGTGTTAATTTCTCTCTCACCTTATGGGAAAAAAACAATTGACATTGACAGGATTGTGCATATCCTTGCTATATAAATATATTTATTCAAGAATATATCTTCTTGACTTGAAGCTTTCGTGACTGCAGGAATTCATACTCTTTGAGTAAGAAGATATCTTGGTTAACATTTTTACCATACATACATACAAAATAACATGGTACAATTTTTTCGGAGGTCCTTTAAGTTTTCGTAGACCCTAGGCAAAGTGCCTACTGTGATATATTAGGTAATACGACACTGACTCAAGTCCGCTAGCTTTCTCGAGGAAGTTGTGCGACAAAATGACGATTTTTCCTACTTGACTTTAATTTTGAGTTTTCACATTGCTTCAGTGATTTTCCTTGGTTAGCTAAGTTGGCGTACCTGGCAGATGTCAGCCAAAATGGGCTTAACTTAAGCCTACAAGGGGAAAGCCGTGACTCCGTTCCAAGTTTAGGACAAAATAGAAGCTCAGCTCAAGAAATGAGATCCGTGGTTCCGTCGACTTAATAAATCGAACTAGGATTAATTTCTAAATTTCTCAGATTTTTTGGGTCACATCAGAAATGCAGCTTCCAGACAAAGTCAAATGTGACATTAAGGGGAGAACGTCTGCAAATCCTCAACGTACTTTCATGTCCGCGAGTTAACAAAACAGAAATAAAACGACTGGATTAGAAACCGCTTGGTGAACGCTGATAATGACGTGCTCGCAAATCTGACATCGAAAGAGCAAGACGACAGCCTAACAGAATTTTCACGCGACAACTCTGTGAAGCTGGTCTCCACACTCAAGGACACGGACTGGCTTCTGGCTGCGCGTCGGTACCGAGTACCCAAAACTGTCCGACAAGACGGCGATTGTACCCGATGCCTTTTGCCAAAATGTATGTTTGCGATAGTGGCTTTTCCGCGCTAGTTGCGGTGAAGATGTTGTCACATGGTGTGTGTGAGGGTGAGGATGTTATCACATGGTGTATGTGAGGGTGAGGAGGTTGTCACATGGTGTGTGTGAGGGTGAGGATGTTGTCACATGATGTGTGTGAGGGTGAGGAGGTTGTCAGATGGTGTGTGTGAGAGTGGGGAGGTTGCCACATGGGGTGTGTGTGAGGGTGAGGATGTTGTCACATGGTGTGTGTGAGGGTGAGGATGTTGTCACATGATGTGTGTGAGGGTGAGGAGGTTGTCACATGGTGTGTGTGAGGGTGAGGATGTTGTCACATGGTGTGTGTGTGAGGGTGGGGAGGTTGTCACATGGTGTGTGTGAGGGTGAGGATGTTGTCACATGGTGTGTGTGAGGGTGGGGAGGTTGCCACATGGCGTGTATGAGGGTGAGGAGGTTGTCACATGGTGTGTGTGAGGGTGGGGAGGTTGTCACATGATGTGTGTGAGGGTGAGGAGGTTGTCACATGGTGTGTGTGAGGGTGAGGATGTTGTCACATGGTGTGTGTGAGGGTGAGGATGTTGTCACATGGTGTGTGTGAGGGAGGGGAGGTTGTCACATGGTGTGTGTGAGGGTGAGGATGTTGTCACATGGTGTGTGTGAGGGTGAGGAGGTTGCCCCATGGTGTGATGGTGAGCAGGTTGTCACATGATGATGTGTGAGGGTGAGGAGGTTGTCACATGGTATGTGTGAGGGTGGGGAGGTTGCCACATGGTGTGTGTGAGGGTGAGGATGTTGTCACATGGTGTGTGTGAGGGTGAGGAGGTTGCCACATGGTGTGTGTGAGGGTGATGAGGTTGTCACATGGTGTGTGTGAGGGTGGGGAGGTTGCCCCATGGTGTCTATGAAGAGGCTGTGATGGCTTCCTATCTGCAGGGGGCGCCCCGTGTTCTGTGAGCGCAGCAGCCCGGGCGGCGTGGCGGCGGCGTTGTGCGTTGCGCGCGGTTTTGTGGTGGTGGCTGCAGCTGGTCGTGGTGTGGTTGTGTTGTGGGCAGTGGTGGTGGCGGTGTCGTTGTGTCTCTGTGTGCGTCTGTGAATCTCTGCGTGCGCGTCTCGTACGGGGGAGGAAGAGGAGGAAGAGACACGCGGGGACCACGACCCGGAGCCTCTCCCATCTCCTCTCTCGCCGGGCCGAGCTGAGTGCGTGCGGGACGCGGCCTGCGGACGGGGGCCGCTCGGCCTGCGGTTTGGGGGGTGTCGGGAAGTACGGGGGTCGGGGGGGGTCGGGGTGGGACTCGTGCGGGTGACGCTACGGTGGGACGAGGGCTGGTGGGGGGGTGCGGCAGTGGCTGTGTGGCGGGGCTGGTAAGGTGGAGTGGTGTAGCCTCTTCGGTGGGGGCGGGGGACTCGTGGAGGGGTCGCCGTGCTGGCGGGGTGAACCCATGGGGGGTGCGTGGACTAGTGGCGTGTGGTGCTGAGTGGGGCAGTGCTAAGTGGTGCGGTGCTAAGTAGTGGTGTGTGGTGCTGAGTGGGGCAGTGCCAAGTGGTGCGGTGCCAAGTAGTGGTGTGTGGTGCTGAGTGGGGCAGTGCCAAGTGGTGCGGTGCTAAGTAGTGGTGTGTGGTGCTGAGTGGGGCAGTGCCAAGTGGTGCGGTGCTAAGTAGTGGTGTGTGGTGCTGAGTGGGGCAGTGCCAAGTGGTGCGGTGCCAAGTAGTGGTGTGTGGTGCTGAGTGGGGCAGTGCCAAGTGGTGCGGTGCTAAGTAGTGGTGTGTGGTGCTGAGTGGGGCAGTGCCAAGTGGTGCGGTGCCAAGTAGTGGTGTGTGGTGCTGAGTGGGGCAGTGCCAAGTGGTGCGGTGCTAAGTAGTGGTGTGTGGTGCTGAGTGGGGCAGTGCTAAGTGGTGCGGTGCTAAGTAGTGGTGTGTGGTGCTGAGTGGGGCAGTGCCAAGTGGTGCGGTGCCAAGTAGTGGTGTGTGGTGCTGAGTGGGGCAGTGCCAAGTGGTGCGGTGCCAAGTAGTGGTGTGCGGTGCTGAGTGGTGGGGTGCGGTGCTGAGTGGTGGGGTGCTTTAGTTGGGAGGGTGGACTTGTTTATAGTTGTCGACTGGTTTGGGGTGTGTGTGTGTGCTGGTCGGGGTGTGAGCTGGTGGGGGTGGATTGGTGGGGGGTGGATTGGTGGGGTGTGGACTGGTGGAGGTTGGATTGGTGGGGGGTGGATTGGTGGGGTGTGAGCTGGTTGGGGGTGGATTGGTGGGGGGTGGACTGGTGGGGGGTGGACTGGTGGGGGGTGGATTGGTGGGGTGTGAGCTGGTTGGGGGTGGATTGGTGGGGGGTGGACTGGTGGGGGGTGGATTGGTGGGGGTGGATTGGTGGAGTGTACTATGGTGGGGTGTGGTTTGGTGGGTGTGTTGTACGACGGGGTGACTAGGATTGTGTTCCTGTTGGTGCGAAGCCTGGTAGAGTGACGTTGGGATGTTCCTGTAGGGCGTAAGCTCGTGGTCATGGTATCTGTAGTGTGTAGGCCTGGTGAGCGGTATTCCTCCAGAAGATTATTTTAAAGTCACTTTCTCAGTGGCCTATGTAGTATGTATGGTTTGAAGGTTAATACACCCACTTTCATTTACACTGGGGTCACGTGATCAATCCCACTCATTTACACTGGGGTCATCTGAACAATCCCACTAATTTACACGGGTCACGTGAACAATCCCACTCATATACACTGCGGCCACGTGAACAATCCCACTCATATACACTGGGGTAACGTGAACAGTTTAATTCTCATTTACATTTGGGTCGCTGCTCATGTGAACCTATGACCTCGGCATGGCAGAGCGAGCCAGGGCATCTCGACTCACACCGATGGCTCCGCTCGTTATGTCGAGCGCTCAACGAAGTCTCCTCGCCACTTGCCATGCATCGGGAAGTTTGCAGCAACAACTTCCCAGTGGGGTCGGGTTCACAAACTAAATCTGTTCGGAAGTTACTTGTGTGTAGTTTTAAGTCATTGCAATAAGGGCATGCCGCTAAATTATAATACAATACGTGATACTGCTTTATTGACATGTGCTGTAATGACCGAAGCCAATGTAGTCCAGTGGTTTTGGCAGTGACGCAAATATATTTGGCAGAGACACGACTGGACATCTGTGAAAAATAACTTGATAGCTCATCGGATTCCTCCATTGTAACTATATATTCTGATTAATGTGAGGGAGAGTAATTCTTGTAAATTAGTATTTTGTAAGATTTAGGATAGTGATACAATACAGCTTTGACACATGTTGGAAAACAATTTTGTCATTTATAAAAACATCTGTTTTGTCTTTAAGGTCAGGGTCACAGGTCAAAAAACCTTTGCCACTGATTCCACCATACCTGGTTAATTCTAGAGGTGCTGCAAAGTTGATACTGAACCCCCAAAGGCAACTTTTACAGTTGTGTAATGTGCAATATGCTGGTTTCATTACCGGACTGTCGCTGGAAGTTCCTGCTGAGAGCACAGTAACGACAGCAAGCAGCAATGTCCTCACGCTGTCACAGGGCCCATGGTTTATGGGTGCCATGGTGGCGACATGTTCACTACCTCGCCTGGTATGCAGGAGGTCGTGGGTTAAATCCCATCCCTAACGCCTGTATATCTGTAAATCCACAACATTTACAATTTTAAATGTTGTGGATTTACTCTCCAACACACCGGTGTGCTGTACTATTAATGAATTGGCATGTTCTGTTTACATGACAAACCTTACTAATTGGGTCTGTCGGGTGGCAGCGGGTTTAACAACACATTTATATTTACGCAATCTAACAAAAAAAAACCTGTATCATGGATTATATTGGTCGCGAAAGCCTACTTGTTAAACTTGCTCTGTGGGCTTTACCTGATAAAATAAATAAAAAGTTTAGTTTTTTACTACACGTCAAGCCGTTTTGCCCCGGCCAGTCTCTTGTATTGACACATTCTCAAGCCCAAAGCAGAGGATGACTTCAGTTGCTTGAGCAGTTGACTTAATACGTCACGGCTTTCATTGACCGTCATAATTGAGACTTGGCGCACACTGCTTCCACACTTGCATATGATGGCAGCAATGTGTTCGGGAGCTAAATGCCCAATGTCCCGCGGACTGCTAGCCATGAAGAGAGGGCTTTAGGAGAGAGTTTGTGCAGTTTTGATGGAGCTCAGACTAAAGTGGTTTATAAGTGGTCTAGAATACAAGCTTTATGTGCGCACATGCAACAATCAGGTATGTATGTTGAACGTATGTAGCCAACCCTGCTCATCGGAGATAAATAGCACAAAGCAGCAAATCCAAGTGAATTTCTTAAAGGTCGTGTGGTGGAATGTGTAAAAACACACTTGTATTTTTGTGTGGAGGGAAAGATGCACGTGAACGAGGCGAAAGGTCTGCATATTTATTGTTACCGATATTCACATGTATGTTGAGCTTCTTTCGCACCATATGTAACCAAACGCGCTAACCGTAGGTGTGGGGCAAGGGCAACAAACTAAATACGAAAAGCAGTTCACCCAGAACGAAGTGAGCACACATTTTGCGAAGTACCAACGGTGCACGTTCGAACCAGATCAACTGTGAACCATAATAGCACGCCACGCACGCCAACGCTCGCCAACGCTCGCCTCTATCCGCAGCTGAACCGATGGCCTCTGCGCTGGCCGTGGACTCGAGCGTGGACTTCTCGGCGTGGCTGAAGGCGCAGGGCGTGAACGCCGAGGTGGCCCGGGCCATGGACTCGGAGCTCGGCATCCGCGACTACGGAGTCCTGCGCGCCTGCGTGGGCGACGGCCACGTCCGTGCCGAGCTCCTGGCCGCGGCGCGCGACCGCCTGCCCTTCGGCTTCTACGCCGTGCTGCGCCAGGTCGTGCGCTCGCTGCACCTGGCGGAGGCCGAGAGGCCACGATCGGACACGGCCGCCCTCCGGGACGCGGCGCTGGGTGGCCTGCTGGACGTACTGGTGGTGCTGTTCAGCGGCCTCAGCCGCGAGCTGCTGCTCTCCGTGCAGAAGCTGGGGGAGATGGACGTCGAGGGATTTGCCGACGCGGTGCCCAGCACGACCAGGACCATCAGTGTGGAGGACAAGACTGCGGAGTACGACCGCCTCTCCACAAATATGAACGAATATTCAAGCCATGGTGAGGCCTAGCGAATCGTGTCAAACGGTTCCGCGTTATGTACGTACGTACATATGTTGAACTTCTTTGGAGCCGTAAGTAGCCAACCGTGCTAATCGGAGGTGAGTGTTATTTTTGTTCGGGTGTTATTTATTTTATTCTCAAACGAAGTAGTTTCATGGTTTTAATATGAAGATTGCAGTGCGAACCAAAAGTGTGGTTCTTTCATCATTGTCGTCATCACTCCTGGATGAAGGCCCTCCAACACCTTCGCCATCTTGCATGATCCCACGATGCCACCCCCTAATTTGCTTCGGCATATCAGCTGATCTCAACGCTTTATTCCTTCGGTGGTCCTGAACAAGTGATGGAAATTACATATTTATATGGCAGGGTCCAGTTTTTCCATGATACAAGCACCGTCAGCGTCCACAACATGGTGCAGATGTTATTCAGTTGGGGTAGGTGAAGGGCTGAATTTTCCTGTGACTGGTATTTGGGCTGAACTTTGAGAGTTGAGGCCCTGTAACCTCAGTGTCACCTGGCCAAATGCGTTTTATTGGGTTACCGAGTACGCAGTCACTGCACGTTGCATGCTTTTTCAGATGTTTAGGTCACTGGAGAGCCCATTAACGCTACGTGACATGGTTTCAATGATGCTTCTCATGGTAGTAATGATAATAATGATGATGGTGATGGTAACGAGTTGTGTTTGATAGAGGCCGGCCTCCTTTACGCCGCAGCCTCTCAGCGTTTTACAGCAGATGAGCCGCTTCTTAAATCTCATCCTAACCCATTCTAAAGGGCACCCCCCCGTCCCGCTAGCAGCTGTTCCCGTGCGGCATAGGGTAGCGCAGCGCCGAGCCTGCAAGTGGGCGTTGGTCTCCCACCAGGAGGGGGGGTCAGTGATTGGCCTGCGTAATCTCAATTGAGTCATTTGCCGTCGTAATTAATTTTCTTTCTCGCTAATTTAGACTCTGCTGCTGCCAGAACTCGATGGCCTAACCCCGTGAATGCGATCTTTAAGGTCCACGGTGCGTAGTTGTCTTAGTATGTTCACGGTTAATACACACCGCGGGAAATATCGGGGAGGCCGCTGGTTTCAAACTGTAAACCTCCGCGACTTGCGCCAAATGCGCTGCCGCTGGGCTGCGTCGCCACTCTCGTAATTGATGGGGCTGTTCACCGCATTGACTCGTGGATTGGTGTTTGGCTGTGGGTAATGTCATTATCCATAGATCAGTCTCGGTCTGCGGAGGATCTGGTTTGTGGATGATAGATTGGCAGTTGATAGGAGTCTGAATTGTATTTCACCATCGAGTGGAACGGTGCTTCCTCGGCAGCCAAATCTGAATGAAGCACTTGACTGCAGGGCGAATTATTTTGCCAGTGGTCAACGATAAATGGGCCACCGTTGCGTATTCGCAAATTATATCACAGTGATGATGATGACGATGATGCTCGTCAAACCGATCCGTGAAACCGAAATGCAACGGAGAATATTTTTGCACCTGTGATAATGTTTGGCGGTCAGCTTTTGGGGGAAAATGTGCTGAATCTGACATTCTCCGTCCCTGTCATTATCCAGTGGCGGAGCTGCCACGGTGATGTAATGGGTTGCAAACACCACCCCCCACCCACCCCCCAATGGCAGGAATGCACCTTTACCGTTGTTGACCTTATAACCCATAACTTGCATAGTGTGGTGGTGTTTATGGAAACTCATTTCTTTTAGAATTGCTCTGTTTAGTTTGTTGTCCCCCCCGCACCTCAGCGTGGATAGCTACGTACGGTGCTGCGAAAGAAGTTCAACATGCAGATCAATTAAGGCTGGCCTTGTAGATGATAGCAATAATTGCTCGGGCAGTTCAGGGCACACAGCCCAGGTTATGCATCTTCAGCATCCTGATAATGAGGTTGAAGCTTCACTTGTGAGAAATAGACTTTAACATAATTACCCATAATGCGAACTCCGGTTATCCTCACGGTGGCTTTTAGCTGGCCATTGAACAAAGACGGCCACTACATCGTGCACTTGCAGATGCGTTTCTGCGGCCGTCTGGAACGCTCTTCCTTCCAAATTAGGAAGCCACTGGAGCTATTCACTTTTAAATCTATATTGAAAACTCATTTTTTTCGAACTGCTTTTTGTGTTTAGTTTATTGTCCTTCCCCCCACATCTCCTATTTGCGCGTTTGGATAGAAATGGTTGTGCGGAAGAAGTTCAACATATGTACATCAGGGTTGTTTTCAACTCCCAGCGCTCCTTCGTATGCTGAATGCGTTATAAGTTTGTGAGCGGGTTGACGGCGCTCCGCTGACGATCGGCAGCTCGGGTGGTGGTCCATGACCCATGCCCATGACAACTCTACCCACGGGAGTGCCCCCATGAGTCTCGAGTGCCGCACTGCCCTGCGGCCTCCTGTTGCGTCTCTGCCCCTGCCACTGCTCTTCTCCACGCGTCTCTCCTGTGCCTCGCTCGGGGAGTGTTTCCTGTTCCCGCTATCTCGCTCCCTCCCCCACATTCCTCCTCAGCCACTTTCCTGTGCGTGTGCATGTGCACGGGTGTGTGTGCTGCTGTCCGTGGGGAGCGGTGTAGTGCAGTTGTTACCTGCGCTGTGCTACAAACCCTGCCACCCGAGTTCGATTCCCGCTCGCGGCCAATACCGGTGATGATTATCTGAGTCGGTCCTGGGCCTCTCCTTGGTCGACTCAGCCTCAACTGAGTACCTGGTGCAATTTGTAAATATCGCCACTTGAGAGACAAAGGCAGTTGGGTATGGTGCCGTGCTGGCCTTCGTAGGTGTTTGTAACAGCATTTGTCCCAAGAGTTTTTTTAAGGCTATACGGGGGATCTTTGTTTTCATTCCCCCACACGTGTCTCTATTGTGTGTGCTGCTGTCTTTCCATATCCTCGTATTTTCTCTGTGTGTCTCTGCTCCATGCTGGATGCTTCATGCTGGGTGTTCCATGCTGGGTGCTTGCCCTGTGTTGTCATGTGCAGTGGTGTACCATGTCTTGTGTTCTCCGTTATGTATTGTGTGCGTATCACATGTTACGTGGGGCGTTTGTCTCTTGTGCCCCCATGTTATGTGCTCTGTGTGTGTGTGTCGTGCACTCTTTCTTGCCGAGTAGCTGCTGCCGACAATGTTCAGTGCTTGGCGTTACGCACCAGCTGCGGCCGTTGCTTCTGTTGCGCGCCTCCGCTGCCGGCTGCCACGAACGAAACTTTTTGCTGAAGCTCCTGTTGCTACTTGCGACATTCCTGCAAGGCTGTCGTCTTAGTGCAGCCTCCGTCTGCTTAACCGCTCATTGCACCTCTCCCCGGCCGACTAAACTGCTTCTCTGTGCCCCCGACGCACCTGCTGCTGCCTTGCCTAAGCTACTTTGCCCTCGTGTGGCCCTGCCCTCTTCACCCCAACATCACAGGCCTGGCCCATCACACCCTGGCTCCTCGCCACAACCTGGCTCCTCGCCACAACCTTGCCCCGACCTCGCCCGCAGCTCAACTGCTCGCCGGCACGAGTAGAAATTTCTGTCATGACGCTGTGTTTTGGCACTGGCCAACATTTACATGATGAAAGGGAGCTGCCACAGAGGTGTAACGGTTAGCACCACACCGGACCTTGCATCCAGAGGTCGCCGGTTCAATCCATCTCACGGTGTGGCAGTTGAAACAATGGTGCTGATTTATAAACATCTCCCCCTGTCCCTATCCATCCAGCATTGTAAATTGGTTACCCGCCACAGCCGATTCGTAGGCTGCATGTGGTAGGGTAAAGAGGGGGGTACGTCCACTGCTTCCGAGATGTCCAGTAAACACGACAGGGGAGGCCAAAATCCCTTGGACGGGGGCTCTGTAGGTTCTTCGGGCAGCAGCGGTGTGAGCGAGCAATTGCAGGGTAGTGCCTACACCGTTGATAGAGTGTCATGCACAGGATCATTTACTTTATCCGCAGCCCTATTGCTGTTAGGGCACCTCGGTGGAGAGAAGTTAACTACCTCGCCTGGTATACAGGAGGTCGTGGGTTCAATCGACCCTGATGATACCTGTTTTATATTTGGAGTTTGCATGTTCTTCCTGTGATCGCGTGGATGTTTTTCCGGGTCCTCCAGTTTCTGAGCACGCGTTTAAAGTATTTGGATGCTATACATTTCCACATGATAAGCCACTTCGTTGAGCTATCATTTGTGGCCAGGGCACTTCTAAAAATAGCTTTGTAGCTCAGTGGGCCTTACCCAGTCAAATAAAAGTTGAGTTGAGTATTATCCGGAGTTATCCACAGTTTTACCCATAATACTCAGCAAAGTGGTTGCCTAATATGATTTTTCATAGAGTCTCATGGCGGATTCATCATATTATACGCATAGGTTGTCCGCAATTTCCAAACAATGGTCGTGACCACAGCAAGTAAATAGGCGGCACTTGCTATGATCACGGGACATCACAGACACGGACACACAGACACGAATACATTCACAGAGATATCGAGACACAGAGCCACACATGGAGACACAGACCCACATATATACGTGATAAATCTCCCATATATTACCGCAAATAAGAGGAGTTTTCGTGTAAGTGCCACTGGCACAAGAGAGCGAGCCACCGTGTAACCGACTGAGATGTTAAATTTCGATTTAAAGCTTTCGTGACTGCAGGGATTCATCTTCTTGGTTCTTTCGGTAAAGTCACGTAGAAGGGAAATAATAAAATAATAAAAATAAAACATAATAAAATATTTAAGCTGGGTTGGAGGGGGAAGAGTGCCTTGACAAAATAATTTGCATATCAAGAGGAATTGTACAGTAGGGTGGGTAGAATAATACATAGTGTAATATTACAATGTATAGTCTATAAGCATATTAGTTGCTGCAGCTCCATACTATTAACATTCCTTCCCTTTATTAATGCTAACCCTACTCCCTCCCTTTGATGCTGCTAATCCTGCAAGATGCACGGGCATATTATGACTTTGAAACCCCCCGCCCACCTCTTACGCATTCCACAAGTAATGACTAATCCCATATCTGCATTACCCATAAATATGCTAAATTCCTCTTGATATGCAAATTATTTTGTCAAGGCACTCTTCCCCCTCCAACCCAGCTTAAATATAAGCTCCAAGCCTGGTGGTGTTTCATTCAGGCGCTGTCTTTCCGACAGACCTGTTCTTCACCTGAGGACGGCTGCTTGCGTTGTAGCCGAAATGTCGTGAGAATTATTTTATTATGTTTGATTTTTATTATTTTATTATTTCCCTTCTACGTGACTTTACCGAAAGAACCAAGAAGACGACTGAGATGTTCTTCTCTGCCGCTCGGCTGAAGGGACCGTGTGTGGTGGTAACACTCGCTCCTTCTTGACCACAGTAGAAGACTCGGGCTCGGCAAACGAAGGCACAGGGAGCGACCGGCCGGGCTGGGAAGAGATGGGCGCTCCAGCGTTCTGCGCCGAGGAACAAGGTACTTGGAGCACAACACGGTGGTGACCAAAGTGGTGAACGAGGAGGTGGTGAAGGAGGTGTTGAAATAGGTGGTGAAGGAGGCGGTGAATGAGATTGTTAAGGAGGCGGTGGTGAATGAGTAGGTGGTGAAGGAGGTTGTGAAGGCAGCGGTGAATGAGGGAGGTTGATCAACAAGAGAAATAACAGCCATGGCCACTCAGCGTTGGGCAGTCCTGTGAGTGCTGTGAGAGGACTTTGTGAGGACTACGTGCCAGGCGACGCTGCAATTCACGCACTCAAGGCTGCGGTCTCAGTCACGGCGCAGCTCTGACACGGCCTCCAACATGGCTCCGCTAAGTCTTGAGCCGTCACTCGGTTGCTTCCACGAGCGGCTCAGCTATGGCCTGTCTCAGGCTCATGTAAATCCTGACCGTAGCTCTGATACCGTGCTCATGGAGCTGGCTCAACTTAAGCGCATGATGGCTTTGAGCCGGATCACTTGAGCCAGAGCCGAGCCTGAGCTGAGCCGTGACTAAGAATGGTGGCCCGAATCTCTCTGCTGCTGTTGAGCAGACTAGGAGGGGGGGATTTTGGGGCGGGCGGCACCCATGGAGCTGCTGCTGGGAGGGCGACTAGCAGTGAGGAGCTCCCTGTGTGCAACAGCAGGAGCATTGCAGCCGTCGATGCAGCACGAGCGCACGAAGTAGAGCACGGGGGCATACCTAAGTGGAGTAGGTCAATGGGGATGGTGCGTTTCTTAGATTGACCAAGGTTATTGCAAGGGCTGAGGAAAAAAGACAGATGGGAGATCGAAACAGGAGGATTTCTCCACAACTCTGGCTGTTGCCTGATGAGGCTGGTTGTAATTATTGGCGGAACGTCATGGTTCTTGAATTGTAAATGTGGGTTTACTCTCCAATACACCGGTGTGCTTAACTAGTAACGAATTGGCACGTTTTGTCTATGTCGGGTGTTGGCGGGTTTAACGACACATTTATATTTACGCAATCTAACCAAAAAACAACCTTTTATGAATAATATTGGTCGCGAAAACTTACTACGTGTTAAATGGATGGGAGGGAGTTGATATGTTCCTAGGCCGTGCACCTCGTGCTGTTTAATTGTGCATAAATAAATAATGACTGATATTATACCGCTGTCGTGACATCACTACACGCACGGAACGATGTCGCGTTGACATCACTGAAGGCCGTTATCGGGCACTTCACCGTAACTGCGAAGGCCTCTCCTCGTGAAACCTGCATCTCTTGCTCGGTCAGTCTGGTCCACGGCGTAGGTGCAGGCTGATGTCCTCTTGGCGGTTCACGTTTTCCTCCAATCCTCAGTCTTCATAACACTCCTGTATGTGACACGGCCCAGCGGCAGTGTGCTTGTTGCTTGGTGCAGAGGTCCACCCTTCAAACCCAGCGGCCACCCTGATTGATAATGCGGCTGCATGCACTGTAAATATACCGAGCACCATCTGCTTCACTGTCGACTTTACAGATCCCGTGATGTCATTCCCGTGATGTCATGTGCTGGTGTGAAGGTCCAGATTTGCCACGTTCAAAAATTAACCTGCAATTTACTCGATTTGGATTTATACACAGCAGCAATCATTGCTCCTCTATTGGGATACCTAATACCAGATCGTAGGCCAGTTGCGGAGTCACCCTGTCCCCACAGAGACAGCTGTCATTGGAGGTGGCCCCCGTTTCTAATGTGTTGAGATGAGATGTTACGCAAGGTGCTCTGACGTACGCAAAATGAATTGCGATCGCTCTAAAGATGAGATGTTCGTACCATATTGACGATGTCCAATGAGGTAAGCATGGCATACAACGTGAAGTATTATGGCTTATATGTTTAAACATTCTACTTTTCATTGGTCATAGGTTGCATGTGGTTTTCAGCAGCGGTGGAAGTGCTGCTTATGATACCTGTCCGTCACACAGTTGCCCATGGCCACTGCCACTTCCTCTTTGCGGAGACAGCAAAGCGTAGGAGTAGGATTGTGAATAGTGCCATTAGTAGGCGTGTCTGGCATTCTCAGGAGTACCAACGTGGCGTCCCCGCATCCGGCGGCACATGTCTACACATTTGTTAATTGGCTAAACACATCTGCAGAGCTTGGGCATCTATTGGTAGGAACCGACTCACCACCTGCTTGCTGCTGCCTTCCTGCTCGCGTTCTGTGGTTCCCCGGCAATTGTGAGAGATGCAAATTTGCATGAACGACGACACTACAATATATGAAACTAAACTCTCGTATTATTATTACTTTATTTCGTCCCCTGACCTTAGGCCATTGACACTTTTGCGCTTATTTTCCTGCTTTTTCCCATGATTGGCATGGAGTGATCGCCAAGTGTCTTTGCCATGGTTCTTCGTGGGATTTGATTTTCGCGATTCTGGGCTTGTTGACAGTCGTCCATTTCGGAAGAGAAAATACCGCAGAGCGAACTTCATTTGAACGGGTTTGAGACATCTGCAAATTGCAGCGTGGGAGTCCCGTTCACGGCTGAATCTTGGAACGTGCAGGCGGCTCAGCGTTAATTTTATTTAGAGAGGCGTATCCCCGTTGTTTTTAAAGACATTATAATAACCACATAGAACCGTAGCGACACGACACTGCGCTCTACGATAGCTGCTGTCAAACTGTGCCACACGCCCTCCACATGGCCTTGTGGGAGCCTTGGTACCGATAAGGTTATTTAATTTCAGTTTTTTTCCGATTCTGTTTCGATGACATACACGTACGTATGCGTACATCATCGGAAAGGGTTAAATTGTAATACGCGGTGAACCGATAATGACCTCCTCGACGCTAACTTTGTCTTGTGGTGACGTGTGCGTGGAAACGCACCGCCGTCCGTCCCTGCCGCACGCGAAGACACCTTCGTCAAGCAGGAGGGCAACGAGGCTGCGAGGGACATGTGGCAAGACGTTGGAGAGAATCACGGCAAGGATTGCGCAGGTGAGATCATTTATTTGCTTTTTATATTTTTTGTTTTAATTGTTTTACAGCAACATGCGATCCCTCGGCAAACCACACTGAAAAGTTCTAACAACAGGGTACAGAGAGAGCCGGTGGACATCTGTTCCGGCACGGTGGAATCACGTGAAGGGGGAGGAACAAAGCGGGGTTAGGGCCCCGCCATCGCTGCCCCAAGCAAGTGGGGACCCTCGCACGAGGGGAAAGATGAAGCTTTCGAAAGGCAGGAGGAGAAGAGTTAGTGGCATACTAAGGAAAAGCCAGGGATGAGGGAGGGCAATAGGGTGAAAAGCAGTGGAAGAAGGGGAGAAATGGCCGACGTTTTTTTTATTTTAGAGGATAGTGGCCGAGTCTCCAGGGGAAATGGCTGCCGTGTCGGATCGCCGAGCGAGGAAAGCTGAGGCTGAGTGGGATCGAACCGTTGGCATTGGCCCAGCCGCAGGGGATGTTGCGTCTGTCACACGCTGACGATCATGTGTGCTCGCTATGGACGCTATCGTTCTCATTAGCGCAGGACAGCCGTGACGAAGGAAGGCGCCTCTGTGTCTCACATAGTTCTGCTGTAGTTTGACCGTGGGGGGGGGCGATTTTGCCGCGTGTAATCCCAATTAATATCCGCTGTAATTTTTGTCATTTGTATGTATGCACGTTATACTTTTTCGCACCGTACATAGCCAACCGTGCTCAACGGAGGTGTCGGGAATTTCGACCATGATGCTGGCGGCGCACGATGGCCGACTCACTTTTAATAATATCACGGAGATCTTTAGCATCCACCATGGGTCAAGAGGATGGTGTGTAGTATTTTACTTGTGCCGTACACCCAACAATAACTGGGGTGGCTTGCCAGATTTGCAATAACCGGGGTGGCCTCCACATTTAGAAACATGCGTTTAGAGTATCTGGCTGCTATACATTTCCACATGATGAGCCACTTCTTTGAGCTGTTATTTGTGGCCAGGTCACTTCTGAAAAAGTGAAAATAGCTCAGTGGGGCCTTACCTGGTAAAAAAGATATAAAAAATAACAATAAGAATACAAAATAAAAATTTGCCAGGCCCAGGACCGGTTTAGATATTCATAACCGATGTTTGGCCGTGACCGGGAGTCAAACTCAGGTTGCCAGGTTTGTAGCACAGCACACTAACCGCTCCACCACGCACGCATGTCGCTCGCACGCACACAACGAGAATCCTCATGGACAGACATTCCCCCCATGTTCTGTTGCAGCGGAGGCCTCGGAGAGGCCGCACACGTGCGAAGTGTGCGGCAAGGGGTTCGTGTGCATCTCCTACCTGAAGCGGCATCAGATGACGCACACGGGCGAGAGGCCGCACGTGTGTGACGACTGCGGCAAGGGTTTCTCACAGATCTCGCATCTCAAGAGGCACCAGAGGACTCACACGGGAGAAAAGCCCTACCTCTGCAAGGAGTGCGGCAAGGGTTTCTCACGGAGGCACAATCTGAACAAGCATCAGCAGGCGCACGTCGGCCATTGCCCGTACGTGTGCTAGGGGGGGAGGCGGGGGGGGGTGCAGGGCGGCGGAGTTCATCGGAGAAGCGCGGGGAGAGAGAGATGGATTCCGCGTCGCGCGTTCCAAGCGTCCGGTACGGATCGTTGCGCGAGCGCGGAAAAAAACATGTTCTCTGATGGCTTTTACGCAACGCAAGGGCTGCGAAAGAAAACACAATGGAACTGGAAAACTCACAAAGTGCTGTTAATGTACACGCCACGGGGAAACCCGGGGGGGAGACGTGATGGACCATGGCACCTCCGGAACCTGTGACCTCACAAATGGCTTCATTTCTCACTTGTACATCGCGGTTTAATATTAAATACGTTTTATTTTTTTTTATAATGCAATTTTTCAATACACTGTCGCCGTCCACCGGTCTTATTATATATTGGCAAATCCCACAGGGGCATGGAATGTGTGCAGAGAAGGCTCTTTGGGGGCAGGTGCAGGGTTGGCGAGTTGCCACCAATCGGTGGGAAAGTTAAAAGTGTGAGGGAGCACAAGTTTCAGTTTCTCTCTTGCCTCCGTCTCTCCTACGCTCCGGGTCGCATTATGGCACCGAATTGAGCCCTCAGATGCTGCCAATGAGGCCTGGAGCTTAAACACCTTGACCCCCATGTCAGGTATTTTGCCTGCGTCGGTGCAGGCCTGCGGCCTGGCACAGCTGCGAGGCACGGTCGGATCCCACACTCGCTGGCGGATCGCCAGATTCTGCGGTGGCTGCGTCGCCGGGGCCCACAGGTGAGCACGAGGCCGCCACCAGTGATGTCGGGACAGGCGGCAAGCGCAGAGCACAGCAGTGGGTTGTGAGCGCTTAGCTGGGAGAAGCTCCTTTCGGACCTCTCCGAGGGCGGCAGCGCTCGCCTTTCCGGGGCCGCTCCACCGCGCGCCGGCACGAGGTGAGGCATCACGCGGTGGCGTGCGGTGCGGGCAGACGTCTGCCGCCCGCACGAGGCTATCGCTCGAGCTTACCGCGCGCATGACGGGCGCATACCCACGTTGCGCGCGCGACACACAAAGTGTCCAGAAGTAAACCAGAGGTACGCGGTGGAGGAGGACCCGGAGAATAATCCACGCGACAACGGGAAGAACATGCAAACTCCAAATATACAGGTGTCAGGGTTGGGATGGAACCCACGGCCTGTATACCAGGCAAGGTAGTTAACATCTCGCCACAGCAGCTGTACCGCCAGGAGCGCTCCCACCACTGTCAACTGGAGTCATTCATTTTGCGTCGTGTCGTTTAATAAATTTGAGTTAACAATGATAAGGCGTAAGATTTGGGCATTAAGAACCATTCCCTTGTGTCACTGATGGCATGTAGCAAGGATGAGCATGCACAATTTTCTGCCTGGAGTCCATTTCCCAATTCACATACTCTCTCAAGTATGATAAGAGGTTTCCTAAATTTTGCACCATAAAACAATGTAACTCCCTCACGAAATTCCTTTAAATAAATTTGGAAGCAGTTGAGCACATCCATAAATGTGGCCCTACACTGCAATCCCAGCCTTCTGCGCGAGAGTAGATCAACACCGTCATCTCCCCTCCCATGACTCCACTCCCAAGCTCTCCGTGCATTACATTCTGGTGTGGATGATTTCTGTTTGTTGTGTACAGTGGGTGGCCAGCACCACACCCGACTGCCTTTGTCTCGCGATTTCTCGACACACCACGCCTCCGATTAGCACGGTTGGCTACGTACGGTGCGAAAGAATTGCAACATCCATACCTATACTCTAGGCCTTGTCCTCTGTTAAACAGTGAGTGAGGAGTTCTGGGTAGAGGGTGCGTGCAGTCAGGTGACAGGGGGCGGCCTTGTCTGCACACATTCTGTGGCCCTGCGGGACTTGCCAATATGCATATAATACCGCTGGGTAGCGGCATTGACTGGAAAAATATGTTTTTACCAAGGTACAAAACCAGATTTTACTGGTTTGTTATGATACTGTTTTTGTGTATAGACTGTATTATCTCAGTGTCTCAAATGTAGCAGCAGGGATCTCCAACCCCCCACGCACAGGCGTCTCTGCACTCGTGCTCATATCGTCCAGTGAGGCGTGGGCCTGTGCAAAAAAAAACATTGCTTGTTTTACTGCCGTGGATTTGAAGGCGCCCTTCTCTCGTGTTGAAAACAAATCTCGCTCTCAGGCACGTATGCTCTTTGTCAGGGCCCGCAGGTCATTCTAAGGCAGCTCGGATGCACCCATAATGTAAGCCACATTAACTTTTCATTCCCTCGCAGTTTTTGAGAGACAGAGAAAGGAATGCAATGTGGGCCATTTCCTAACCATGAGTTTTTACCTTTTCCACTGTACACTAAACCAGGATAGATCGGTCAGCACTTCGGTCAGTTGAGGTGGTACGGACACCTGGTAAGGATGTTCCCCGAGAGATTCCCCCTAGGAACTCTACCGGGCACATCCCACTGGGTGAAGACCCTGGGCCGGCCCAGGACACGCTGGCGGGACTATGTCGCTCGGCTCGCCTGGGAATTCCCCAGGAGCTAGGGTCTGTCGCCAGGGAAAGGGAGGTCTGGACCGCCCTACTCGACATGCTGCCGTCGCGACCCTCACTAGGACAAGCAGATTGAGAAACGAATGAACGAACACTTCCGCCTATTATCAAAACTGTGCAGTTTATTGCAATAAAGGTCAGCACAATACCATTACCATATCTCGGTTCCAAATCAATTCCTGCCTCCCGAACACAGGTTCAGATTCCCGTATTCTGTGGGTTAAACCCGGGCAGATGGCGGAGCCTATCCACAATGCGAGCAGATTTGGGCGTTGATAAGTAGCTGAAGAGCGTACGCTTGCGTGTCTTTGTGCCGCGTCGCTGGTAATGGAGACACTAAGCACAAGTCGCCAAACCCAATGGAAATTGACAGTCGCCAGCATGAGAAGCGGCTCATAGCCACGTCAGAGGTATCGATCGATCTACGAACATTTGGCTCTTTCGAAATTTCGCGTGAACGCAATTGACAAATCATGGACACTTTCGATTCACTCAAGCGGATGTTTCTGCTTTAACGAAATTTCACTATGGCCACGTGCCGTGAGGTCATCAAACGAGAAGTCACCCAGGGAGTCTGCGTCATCATGACGGCGCAACCGTAACCCCTCCACATCGCCTCGCCAGTCATTCCAATTTTGAGCAGTTCCTTTGGTGAGTTCCCTGAAAAAGGTGAATTATTTTTGTTTTCAATTAATCATTCAATCGTTTTAATATTTATGTTCTTTATTATTCATAATGAAGGTTTTTTTATTGGGTTAGATTACGTAAATATAAATGTGTCATTAAACCCGCCACCACCCAACACAGCGAATTAGTTATATTTGTCATTTAAACAAAATGTAAAGCCACAACATTTACGGCAGTTATAAATGTTGTACTGGGTTTACTCTCCAACACACCGGTTAGTGCTGAACAAGTAACTAATCGGCACTAATTGGCTGTGTCGTGTGGTGGCGGGTTTTAACGAAATTTATATTTACGCGATCTAACCCAAAATAAAACCCCTCTATTGTAGATAATATTGGTCGCGAAAGCCTTCCACGTGTTAAACTTCCTCTTTATTATTATTTGTATTGTGAAATGATATAGATGTGTATTGTTTAAGGCTAGGAGTAGAGTCGTCCAAAACACATCGCTAATTATTAGGATTAATTAATGGGAATTGCCATTCAGATTTAGGAAATCTTGCTTTTTACGTGCGTTTTTTGAATAACGCATACTTTCCGTAAATCGAGGGATACCTCAACCGCAACGTGAGGCTGGCGCATGCGGCTGAGACGTTGCTTCCACCATTGTCATTTGTTGATTCGGTGTTCTGTCCGTGGAAGAATCTGAGTCAAAATTCTCTCCTCCATGTTTGGTATGCTGCTGCTACTTTCTTCATCTTGTTGGCATCGCTCTGTCCTACCTCTCCGTATTTTATCAAACAATTTTCCCTTCATTACCTCAGCTCATTCCCTCTCGCTACCACCTGCCCCATCAACTTTTTTAGGTCATTTCCTGTCATTGCCACCTGCCCAATCACCTCCTTCAGGTCATTCTTTCTGACCACCACCACCTGCCCAACCATCTCCTTCGGCTCATTCCCTCTCACCACCTGCCCAATCCAGATTGTATTCCTCCTCCTGGTTCAATGATTCACATTCTTCTCTTACCTCTGTGTGTGTGTGTTTTTTTCTCTGTCCCCCAGTATCTTTATAACTCCTTCACCAACACAGGCGGCAAATCAACTTGCGTCAATCGGAAATGCACCGTTATGCTGCCGTGGACTTTTTTTTGATAGAGAGTAGGAGAACTCCAATATAATTGTAACTATAGGATGCATTAATTCTAGATTTGAAGCTTTCGTGACTGCAAGGATTCATATTCTTAGATTTTTTCAGTAAAGTCACGTAGGTAAAAAATAAAAATTAATAAAAGTAAAATAAAATAAAAATCACGACGTTTCGGAGGCAACACAAGCTTCCGTCTTCAGGTGGAACCGTCACAGCCCGACAGCTGTATCAAATAAATGAGAGATTACAGGAGATACCACTCCGTATATATAATGGTTGAGGGGGGGGGCAGGAATGGCCCACTTTTTATTATTATGGTAAGGTGCGGTTTGAGACTATGAATAGACTGCATAACAAAAACTGAGCCTTTATTATGGAGAGGTTCGGTTTGTGACTACGCCTAGCCTACATAACAAAAGTGTGAAAAAAGAAAGCTAAACCTGGTAGAAAGCTATACCTGGTAAAACAAAACTGGCTGTCCATCAGTAACCTGCAATAGTTTTCTGTCAAATAAGATGGTCCAAATAAGTGTAGTTAAATCTTTTTTTGCATGGTTAATCACATCTTTCCAATGATTAAAGGTGCGGCTTGAGACTATGAATAGACTGCATAACAAAAGACTGAGCCTTTATTATGGAGAGGTTCGGTTTGTGACTACGCCTGGCCTACATAACAAAAATGTGAAAAAAGCAAGCTTAACCTGGTAGAAAGCTAAACATGGTTAAACAAAACTGGCTGTCTATGAGTAACCTGTAATAGTTTTCTGTCAAATAAGATGGTCCAAATAAGTGTAGTTAAATCTTTTTTGCATGGTTAATCACATCTTTCCAATGATTACTCAGTTTGTAACCATTATCACGGTTGAAATTATGTCTGTGTTTGTATATTTGTATGGCTTCGTGTACAAACCTTGATGGTAGCCAGGAGGTTTGCAGAGCACCTTGGTCTCGGAAAAGACAATTTCATGAGAGCCCACAGAGTTGTAGCAATGATCGGCAATGGCCGAAGAATCAGTTCTGCCGTGTTTCAGATCTGACTTGTGCTCGCGGACACGATCAGAAACATGACGTTTCGTTTCTCCAATTTATTTATTTTATTTTACGCTTATTAATTTTAATTTTTACCTACGTGACTTAACCGAAAAAACCTAAGAATATAGGATGCATTGCTATAAATTTGGGCTGTACATCATTCAGTGCCACAGTGTCCCATGTACAGCGCGACATGGTCCATTATCTTCAAGTGAAATTGGGGAGCCAGTGAGGTGAAATGTTCCCGGTGCGGATGTACGCCGGGCCCACCCGCGCCGTCGCATCCGCTCAGGGTAAAACGGCGTCCGCTCCAAGCAGTATTTGCGGCGACTTGCACTCTTACAGTTGGTGTATGGGAGAGTGGGCGACTTATCAGGAATATCACGAAGCGTGGACATTGCCGTTCTCCCAATTATGTAATGATAGGCGTTCGTGCAGTTGTTTTCTGTGCGATGGTGAAAGTTTTGACGTGGTGGAGCTGTGTTTAGTTTTTTTAGCCCGTCAGATGCCAGTCAACGAGAGAGGTGCGAAAAGGCGACGGATTTATGCCTGTTGCTGTTGTTGTGTTGGGAGACCTCGTTTAAGCCCGGTGATTACCGGTGTTTCCTCGCGTTGCTCACAGGGAAAAAAAGTAGCAGGCGTAGGAGGTGCAGCACGTAGCGTGACACTTCATTGAATAAAGGAGCAGTGCTGCGAGGGAAATGTATGACCTCGCTGGGAGCGCTCCCCAGCGCGGTTGTCCAGGCGGAACGCTCCGCAGGGTTACCCTCAACTCTGCCTAGACTGAGAGCGATGTCCCGCCAGGCCAGACCTCCGCCAGATGTCTGCTGCGTTGAGTCATCATCGGCAAGCGTCGCAAACCAGAGCGCCGCCCGTCGCAGCACGCCGTGGGGGACAAAATCTAATCCCCGACTCACCCTCGAACTCCATTGAAACACGAGGAAATTGCCCATTTCTCTCGAGTTTGAGGCCCTTAGCAATAACTGCAAGAATTAATTTTGTGCGTTACAATAACCGCGCGCGTACAATGACAACAAATGCATTAACTCCAGTTAATTTTTTATATATATAAAGCGGCCAAAGTCAATGGTATCGATATGCCGTAGATGTGCGACGTGGTTAAACGTGGGAACATGGTGCGCGAGGATTCGTGCGGTATATATGTGACAGGAATAAGCAGCCAGGGGGGGGGAGAAGGTTTCTCGAAATATGTGTTTTATTATGTGCAGAGTGAAGGGAACAATCTGTGGAAGTGGGGATTTCAGGTTGAGAAAGCCGAACGGTTATCATAATCAGCAGCAGCAATGGAGAGTGAAGGAGGTTGTGAAAAACAGGAATTATTTTGTATTCTCAAGTGGGATCTGGAGAACAAATTGAGGGCATGAGGCCACAGGGGCCACTCACAGATGCAGGTGAATGAGCACGCAGTGACGAGCACTGTGGTGAGCAGGTGTCGAGCGAAGACCCATTTGTGCGTTGCAGCAACAGCAGCGGCCCTTACCGTGCGACATTTGATTTGGAGTCTGCGAACGCGAGGGTTTGAATAGTTGAACGTGGAAGTTATTGCGGCGCATGAATACGTTTCTGGCCATGGATTTGCCGAGGTTTTTTTGTCGGGAAATCCAGAGGCGTTGCCAAAGGGGCGATCGGTTTGAACTGAGCCTTGGGGTAGAATGACGAGAGCTCAGGGTTACGAACGGCGTGAATATTTCATAACTCTTGCCACTTTTGCATTAAAGAATTTGACACTCGCGTGCAGGAGGTCACCCTTGTAGAAGAGGCAATGGTGTTTCACGAGTCTCAATATGTTTTGATATCCTGGTTAACTCAAGGACACTGAGGTGTATAGATGAGTTGACATGAGGATAACAATTTAGATTTTTTTTTCCCCCTCATTAAGTAGGCAAGCCGTGGTTTTTGGCTTTTGAGAGTTTGGGATATTCCTGGAAACGGCGTCGTGATGAGAACACGGTCGATGGAGGAGTGTGAACAACGTGTCGTGAGGTGAGCGTCACTAGTGGGGATGTGGTTGGGTTGTTGGTGGTGATCATGAGCTGGAGGCTGCCCTGATGACACTGGCCGAAAGGCCACGTCTTGGCCTCCCGAAGAGACACCAAGCCTGCAATCAAGCAAACGAAAAAGTTAGATGTTAAAACCAATGAAACTAGGCACGCTGTGATATGGTGTTCAAGACAGCCATTAAGTGTTACGCATTGCGTTGTTATTTTTTATGTTCACTGCTGATAGACGTGGATTATGCAGAGTTTTTTAAGGGCTGTCTGTCCATTCGGCTGCCAACTGCTCAAAAGTCAAGTTTGTTATGTGCAAGGTTCATTTATTTGCCGTTAAACCGAAGCACTGCGGGTTGAGAGGCAATCCCTCGATTTTTACCGGTGGTTGCAAAGTGCAGTTGTGTTTTTTATATTGCGGTCGACACGTTGAGTCACCGTAGAGAAGCTTAGAAGTGGAGCGACCTATACATATGAGCAGATTGGAATGAGAGTCTTGGCCATTGACTTTTACACCCCGAAAGTGACAGATTGAGAGGAGGGTTGGGGTCCCAGCAAACTCGACACTTGCGTATGGAGTGGTAGCCGAGTGTACATTGTACGTTTTTACAATCTGCGCTTGACTGCATTGAGGTTGTAGCTTCGAGCTCGGCATCCCAGTGTTTGTCTTATCAAATGTAGTGTTATTTTCTCAATAAACTTTTTACTTTAAGATTAATGTCGTGAAGTGTTCTCTCAAGGTGAACCGGTGGATTGCAGTGGCGCTCACTGCTATGTTTCCTCATGGGATGACAACAGTCAATTTTGATTAATTTTGTAATCTAAATGTGCCGGTAATGTCATGAATTGGCAAACATCCACAAAAAGTCCTTTCTCCTAGAAAGTAGACTTTAGTTTCGAAGAGGTGGGTTAAGCGGACGGTGGAGTGGGTGAATTTTTCAGTTGAGCGTTTAGGCCATCTGTCGGGGAGATGATACGGTGACGACAACGATAACAAAACAGTGGATTGTAAAGTGTTCCAATGAAGATAGCAGCAAGATTGATCCTAACATACATGGGCGCTATCGAGTGTTACGGACAGCCCGCACATTTGGAACGCGGCTTACATAACGCAGCTGTAACATCACTCCATACTCTTTGGTTCTTTAGGTAAAGTCACGTAGGTAGAAAATTAAATAAAACAAAAAATAATTATATTTTTCTACCTACGTGACTTTACCGAAAGAACCAAAGAGTATGGATTCATGCAGTCACGAAAGCTTCAAATCAAGACATCACTCCATATTGGTGGACAGTTCTTTGGAAGATTATATCGCACGACTGCTGAGGGCCCCCTGCAAATGGTATTTTCTCCACACTAGGTGGGATGCATCACCCCCGCAACACACTGACGTGCTTTTACCTATGGCAGGGAACTGGAGAAACCATGAGGAAAATGCATGCAAGAATGGCGATGGTAAGGGAGACGACAAACTCTACATAGACAGGAACTAGCCAGTGTTCGAACCGGGATATTTGGTTCTTTTTCACCACATGGCGAATGTTTATGTATTTATTTTAATTTGGAGCTGCCACGTGCTCGATGAAGTGGCAAACCGCACGTAACAAGATAGTTGCACATGCGCTGTCATCGGTGACTGGGGCAGAGAGCGTCAAGTCGGTTCGAGTTGTTGATGTTGTGCTGCTGTTGAGTTTGCTGTTGTGCTATTGTTTTGTTTGCTGTTGTTAATATCGTGCTGTTGTTGTTGTGCTGTTTTGTTTGCTGTTGTTGATGTGCTATCGTTGTGTTTGTTGTTGTTGATGTGCTGTTGTTGATGTGCTGTCATTGTTTGCTGTTGTTGATGTACTGTTGATGTGCTGTCGTCGTGTTTGCTGTTGTTGATGTGTTGTTGATGTTGTGCTGTTGTTGTGTTTTCTGTTGTTGATGTGCTGTTGTGTTTGCTGTTGTTGATGTTGCGCTGTTGTTGTGATGCTGCTTGAGGACACGTGGTCCCCATCTTCGTGGACACGCACGCTTCTGCTGTCCACGCGCGCCGTGGTACTGACTTTGCTATCCGTTGGCTGTGTGGGTGCGGACCACTTCCAATGTGGTATCAAAAGATCAACCTACCTCATTTTTTCGTCCAGTTTTGATTTATTAACTAGTTTTTTTGATTTTCAAAATTAGACTTGAAAAAAGACAAACCAAGTACTGGGCTTCTGAGCCAAGATATCCCCCCCACCCCCCAGCATAAATGATCCCCAAATATGGCGAGCCCCCTCAATCCGGCCCAAGATCTGAAGCTCATCATCCAATTTATATTCATGCACGGCACCTATAGAGTATATGGCCAGTGAGAGGAGAGAGATAACATTCATGGATCCCGTCTCTCCGGATTGCCCGAGATGTCCTTCGGGTCCAGACCGAGGGGTGGGAATCTGCAGCTCCGGAGCCACATACGGTGGGTCTTTGGCTGCCCCCCTTGCGGCTCTTTGGCTGCCCCCCTTTGCGGGCAGCCGTGTATTTGAAAACAAAAAACGTAATTTACTTCGTGAAAACTAAGAATGGGGTTTATCCTTTCTGGCAATACAACAGGAGCTGTGTTAAGATGTGCGAACACCAAATAGATTATACATATTTCAAGGAATTAAATACTGCATTAACCACAGAATTTATGGTGAACATGCAAACATGCTCTGATAATATATGCCATGTATTTTAAACTGATTGGCCTACACCAGAGACAGCAGACTTCTTTATGACCTTGTCTCACCAGTGTCAGACCAGAGAACGTCAAAAAGGCGAACAGTACAAAGATAATGCAAGTGTAATGATAGGGTGCCATCTGTTGACCAGGAGGGATGATCATGAATATGGGTGCGTTATATAAGAACCAACTAGAAAGGGGGCGTAATTGGGCTAAAAGTAAAAGGCGGGGTCAGTCGGGAAGCTCCGGGAACCTGCTCGAAGGTTCTAGAAGGAGGCGTGGCCGGAGGCGGGGCCTGGCCACGCCGGGGAGTATATAAGGGGGACGTGACCGGAGGTTCGGGGCTATCGTGGGGTCCCGGGTCTTGGCTGTCATCGCTGTCTTCGCCATCACTTCTCTTCATCGTCCGGCTGCATGGCCAATCCTCTACACGGCTCCCATCGTTGTCGCTATATTAGTCAGCCAGCTACAGAGTTAGACGCCGGCGATGGGGCTGTGTAGATGGGTCAGCTATGCGTAGCCGTGTACATATATGTTCGCCCGTGATGTTGCTTGAAGTGTGAGAAATAAATAAGAAGCCCTCTACACGTTGTGTCTCAGAAATCGCCCACTATTGCTCGGGGTGAGCAGCAGCTATATCATGGGACTTTTGTTGCGAGTATCAAAGTCTGAAAAATAAGAATAGGTTTTACTGTTTCTGGCAATAGTACAGGAGGTGTCAAGGTGTTCAAACACCAAATAGATTATACCTTTTGCAAGGAATAAAATACTGCATTCACCTCACACAACTTGTGGTGAACATGCAAACAAACTCCGATAACACTATGTAACACAATTTTTGTTCATGGGTAATAAGTGTTATTTTGTAATTGCTTATGCCTAATAGGTATGGAAAACGGCTATTATTCCCCACAAATTTTGCTTTTGTGACCAGGACAGTGATATTTTGAAATGTACCTATTTTCAATGAGAAAATGGGCGAATTTGTGTCTTTTCGTTCACATAAAGTAAAAAAACCCAACATGAATCAAAATAAACATGTATTTATAATAAAGTTATACAAAAATTACTTCAAAAAATTTAGAAGCGAGTAGTTTTTCGAGATTTACGATGATACTGTAAATCACTCACGAATCAGCCCCCAAATGTAGTCTCCCATCATGTTCTCGTTATACTGTCCTTGGTAGCGGCGTTCAAAGTCGAGTATATCCTGGTGGAAGCGCTTGCCTTGGTCCTCCCAGTATGCTCCCATGTTCTCCTTGAATTTATCAAGATGAACATCAAGAATATAGACTTTCAGGGACATCCTACAGCCCATTGTGCCGCAGTTCTTCACCCGAGTCTCAACCAGCTCCACGTAGTTATCGACCTTGTGATTGCCCAGGAAGCCAGGAACCACTGCGACAAAGCTGTTCCAAGCCGCTTTCTCCTTACTAGTGAGCTTCTTGGGGAAGTCATTGCACTCCAGGGTCTTATTTATCTGTGGTCCGACGAAGACACTGGCTTTGACCTTTGCCTCAGACAGCTTAGGGAAGAAGTCTTGAAGGTACTTGAAGGCTGCCAACTCCTTATCTACAGCTCTGATAAATTGTTTCATAAGGCCTAATTTGATGTGCAGTGGTGGCATCAGCACCTTCCAGGGATCCACCAGTGGCTCCCACTTGATGTTGTTCCTCCCCACAGAGAACACGGTCCGCTGTGGCCAGTCCTGCCTGTGGCAGTGTGCCTTGGTGTCCCTGCTGTCCCAAAGGCAAAGATAGCAGGGAAAATACTCTTTGGTTCTTTCGGTAAAGTCACGTAGGTATAAAATAACATAAATTAAATCACGACGTTTCGATTGCAACACAAGCAATCATCATCAACTGGAAAACCACAGCAAGAAAATGTTTTGCTGAAGTGGGAGAGAGATGCCGAGGTAAGAGGTTATATAGGTAAGGGAGGGGGGAGGGGAGCGTTGCGTGGACGCTAGGAGAGGGAAAGGGACGTGAAGCTGGACGGGGAGAAGTGGGCGGGGCTGGAAGTGGGAGGCTGAGAGATGCGCGGGGGGGGGGTGCAACAACAACGCCACTGCAGCAACAATGCCAATGAAGCCAACAATGCCACTGCAGCAGCAATGCCAACGTTGGGGATACAATTAACTCGGCTAAATAGACGAGTGCCCGGCTAATATGATGGAACAACCATAAAGAATGTAAGGTTTCACCTGGTTAATAACATCCTTCCAATGATTGCTCAGTTTGTAACCATCTTCTCGGTTGAAGTTATATCTATGTTTATATATCTGGATGCCTTTATGAACAAACCTTTGATAATAGCCCGAAGGTTTGCAGGCAGAGCACCTTGGTCTCGGAAAAACAATATTATGAGAAACTTCAAATCTAGATAGCAGGTAAACTTGGTAAAACCACCTTGTAGACCCATCAGGAATGCCACCATTTTGAAGTATCCGATGACCTCCCAGCTATACTCATCATACTTCAAGGCGTCCATCAATGTCTTGATGCTGTTGTAATCCTCTTTGAGGTGCACCGAGTGAGCCAGGGGAAGAGATGGGTACTTGTTACCGTTATGGAGCAGCACGGCTTTGAGGCTCCTGGATGAGCTGTCAATGAAGAGGTGCCACTCATTCTGGTTACAGGTGATTCCGATTGCCTCGAACAGACTGGTCACATTGTGGCAGAAGCAGAGCCCATCTTGACGGGTTAAGAAGCTGCAAAAAGGTTGGTGACGCTTCCTCTGATCTGCGACTTGCACACTTTCATCCAACAAGTTCCACTGCTTGAGCCTAGACATCAAAAACTCGACATTGGACTTGGTGAGATGAAGATCTCTGGTCAAGTCGTTGAGGTATTTTTGGTTGGGGTAGTATAGGTTTCTCTCCTCAGCTCCACCTCTGACATTGTTATCTGGATCTACGTCTTCCTTGCTCTCTGACTTGCTGCTCTCTTCTAAAGACGGCTGCTCTCTCTCCAGAGGAGTGGGTACAACAACAACAACCGCCATTCGCCACTAAGTGGCG